TTGGGGACTCGGAGGGTGTGGTTTAGATGAGGCCTTGGGGCCTCATCCCTTGTGTTCATTCCTACTCATTGATCCTCATGTAGAAGAGGTGCGGATCCAATTATTTTAACGAACACTGAAAACTTTCCCCTTCCATAATAGCCTTCTCTTCATATAACAATACATGGCTCCCATGATGGAATTTAATGCACTTTTACAGAATTCTCCATGGGTTTAAAATTATTTAATACATAAGTTAAGACTTCTGGTCACCTTAGAACAAGGATCCACCGAATTCAGGAACAGTTTCCTACCTTCAAAATCAGCAAGGAGAGGGTGAATTTTGTTCTTGTAACATCTGCTAACATTGTCTGTGCCCTGAGGACACCTCTTCGAAACAGCGGCGGCGGCCTAAGGGAGCAGGTTCCCCGAGGAGATAGGTGGGGCGAACCGCAGGTGGGGGTGAGTTCCTCTAGGCTGCAGAAGCACTTTGCGGTTGTTGGCTGGGTGCAGGCAGCACTGGTTTGAGGACAAAGAGCCTGAGGTGCATGCTTGAGTCGCCAGATTTTCTCTGTGAAGCTGGGGGCAAAGGGGTCATGGGTGTGGGGGGCTGGGGTAGGGCTGAACTTGTGCCGAGATGCTAGAGCTCTAAGATAGCCATTTTGAATGCCACCCTTTCCAACCCCAGCTCTGCTCTGTGCTCTTGGGGCACCTGTAGACTTGTGACTTGGCCTCCCTGCACCTCAGTTTCCCCACCTGTAAATGAAGCTACCGATAGTCTATATCTCATAGGCGGTTTGGAGAATGTGCTGATTTTATTTATAGAGTGCATCGCCCACTGACTGATCCTTAGGACTCTGATATAAATGGTGGAGGGTGGTGTCTCTGTCACTTATGAGGTCCCCTTGCAGGGCTGGGGTGAGAGCAGTGGTGTGACGGGCAGGTGACATTGAGAAAGCAGATGGTGGGGACAAGAGGCGCTTGGGACAAAGGGCTTTTGCTTGAGAACGAGAGTGTTTCTTTCACTCCAGGGAGGTGGGGGGGGGTGCTGGGACCCCTGTAGCTCTGACCTGCCAGGTGCTTGATGATGGAGAAGTTTTTAACCCTCCAACCTAGGCTAAAAAAAAAATCAACTCAAAGATTTCCAGGAAGAAAATGAATACCATACTTGCTCTAACTGTGGAGGAGTGAAGATACACACATTATTGAAGCTCCCAAGGCAGTTTATGGGAACAAAAGAACGTACAATTACACCCAAATCGGCAATTTCCATGCAGCAACACAAATATAAAAATGTGTGCATGTGGGGAGGGATGGGAAGGGGTGGTGTGGGGAGAAAACATGTCCGGAAAAGTAAGATAGACGTTTAATAACTGAAGTGTGAAGGAATATTAAACTCCCCATGGACACGTGGGCTAAAGACTTAGTGCAGTTTATGCAAAAGAAAACACGTAGGGGCACCTGGGTGGCTCACTCGGTCGGTTCATGATCTCACAGTTTGTGAGTTTGAGCCCCGCATCAGGCTCTGGGCTGACAGCTCAGAGCCTAGAACCTGCTTCGCATTCTGTGTCTCCCTCTCTCTCTGCCCCTCCTCTGTTTGCACTCTGTCTCTCTCTCTCTCTCAAAAATAAATAATGAAACATTTAAAAAAAGGAAACATAAAGAGAAAACTATTTCAAAAGGATCCACCCTTCCCAACCCTCCACATGTGCCTCAGGAAACATACAAGTGCAGCCCGGTAGCTGTGGCCTCTGACCGGTGACAGGTACAGAGAAGCCCCAAGACCCAGGCAGGAGTGGCAGGGAGCCCTGAATGCCAGGTGGGAGCAGAGGAAAGGCCTGGAAACTTCTGCACCCCTACAGGGCACTGGGGAGCCTGGACTCGATGCTCTTGTGTTACCCTAGGGGCATCCCCTGAGGGTCCTGAGCCGTTCCGAGGCTCCCTGGAAGTTCTGGCCTCTCCTGTGTAAACCACAGAACCTCTCCTCCCCTGAGTTCAGCAAGAGGGGAGGCTTTGGGTGTCCATCTTTTTCCAGAACCTCGTGGTCTTTATAACCTTCAGTGAAGGGCCCTCTCTGCGGGCTGTGGAATTTCGGCCTCTGGCTTGAAGACAGCCTTTGCTCAGGGGGACTTGGGGCCCCATTCGGGCCATAAATGGCTACAGGCAGGAAGATGCAGGGAGCAGGGAGCTCTGAAAAAATTACTAGAGCCCTGGAAACGGAAGGAAAGCCCACACCTAGTTGTCCAGAACTTCAGGCCGTAACTCAAGGCTACATTTCCAGTGAGAGCCGGAGGGGGCGCGTGGGAGGGGAAGGGGTGAATTCTAAAGGACTGCTGCCCCCTGGTGTGTTTCACTCCACCCTGCCTCCATATTGTGAGGTGTGACCTTGAAGCCCTTCGCTGCCAGGTGCCCACTTTCAAGTGGGGCTGAGCGTTTTCGGTCTGCAGGGGTGGCTGTTAGGGATCCAGCTGTCTTTTCAAGCAGCTGGGGGGGGGGTGACCCGGGGGCGGTCCTCGGGGACTCGCCCAGACCCCAGAAGGGCCTCGCCTCTGCTCCAGTACAGTCGTACGGGCTAAATGCATAGAACGAGCGTGGGGACACAACTGTGGCAGAGCCTGACACTTTGGATCAGAGGGGGGCGGGGCACAGAGGGGCTGGACCCCTCCCCCTCTCCTGCCTTTCGGTCCTCAGTTTCTCCTGCCCTCCCTTCTCTGCTGAAGCCTCCTCTTGCCACTCCACACGCAAGTGGCTCCTGGAGCTCAGATGCTGCCCCAGGACATTGGTAAGGTTGGAGATCCCAGCCCCCTACTCTGGGCTTCCCGGCTGGCGGGCAGGCAGGACCTCCCGCCTCTGCCGCCACACCGGGCCCCCCAAAGCCTCTGATTTGTTCTGGAAGGTGACAGGGTGGTCTACACCAGGCCGGCTGCTTCTGGGAGGTTAAGGATTCTCCTGAGAAAAAAAAAAATCTCTCTTCCTATTTGTGATTCTGCAGGGCTGGGGCCCGGGCGGGGGGAGGAGAGGAGCTAGCTGGGGGGGCCGGAGCCGTGGGTGGGGCCTTGGGCAAACCCCTGGCTGGCCTACCCCTGAGGAGAGTCTCTCCGGCCCACACGTCCTCCTGCCTGGGGTGGGGTCCACCATCACCCTGATGGTGGGTCATAAACAAAGCTCTTCAAGAAAGGGTGGGAGACGGGGCGCCCGGGTCACGATCTCAGGGTTTGTGAGTTCGAGCCCCGAGAGCCCCGCGTGGGGCTCTGTGCTGACAGCTCAGAGCCTGGAGCCTGCTTCCGATTCTGTGTCTCCCTCTTTCTCTGCCCCTCCCCCACTCGTTCTCTCTCTTCCTCTCTCTCTCTCTCTCTCTCTCTCTCAAAAATAAACACACATAAAAAAAAAGAAAGAGTAGGAGATAATTTGTATGCAGCACAGCTCACGTAAGACCATTTTTTTGTGTGTTAAAAGAGGGAGAAAACAAGAACACAGATGTACATATGTTGGTATAGACGCCCTGGAAGAAGCTGCCATCAGGGGTGCCCTGAAGGGTCGGGGGGCACGGGCTCTGGGGTCCAGTGGTGGGGCAGAGACATCTTACTTTTTGTGTTTACATACATATTTGGATCATGTGCATGTGCTCAAAATTCTAGCTCAAAAGCAACAGCAATAAGACAAATAGTCATTTAAAAAGTGAGGCTAGCCAGGACATAGGTGGGCAAGGCTCCCTTTGAGGAGGGGCTGGGTGGCGAGTCACTCTCCTGACCCCTTCCCTGGGTCCCCATGCCACAGGCTCTGCACCTCCCCACCGCCTTCCCGAGAGCCTTCCGGCCTCCACAGCTGCGCCCACGACGCCCTGGCCTGGCCCGCTCATGCCGGCTTAGGTTGGGCCAGGGACCTACAGAGGCCTCGCTGTCTTCACTCCCAGGCCAGCCTGGAGCCCGGGCCCGGGAGTGAACTTGGTTCTGCCCGTAGCACAAGCATGGGCAGGATGGGAGTCATACATACAGTGACAGCTTAAAAGGATGTCACGGTTGGCTCTGTGAACCTCTTCTCCCGATGACAGGGAGCCCATGCTCTCTGGAGGGCCGGGCCACCTCCCCACAGACATACACAGCTGTCGTTTCTACAGAGGCGGCCGTGTGCTGGGATGGGTTACCCAGACCCGCTTTGGGGAGTCTCTATTCCTGTAGGCACCCGAAAGTCACAGCGGGTCTGTAAAAATAGCACGTGCTGTGGTCTCTAACGGTGTCTCCTGGTCCCTCCCGGGCATCGGAGCTGAATCCTTCAGGGTGTTTCAGCCCAGACTCTCTTAAGTGGCTGGGGTCTTTGAGGGGTCCCTGCTGAGAGCCACCCAGGGGCCATGAGTGAGTCTCCGGTCTCCCAGCCCTGAATGTGGGAGACACTAGGAAAATCTCTGCCTGAAGGGCCGTCGGGGGCTGTGTGGCCCAGGGCTGAACCACGTTGCTGGGGAGGCCTGGCGTCGGAAGCCAGGGCCGGGGACCTGCCCACACCCGCCCTGCTGACTGTCCCTTGAAGACACACAGGCAGGGACTAAGGTGTCCCGGGCTGGGTCCGAGGCCTTGCAGGCTGTCCCTAAACACGAGGTGTGCAGCCTCCCGCTCCTGTGTGTGGGCGGCAGTTCTGAATCCTGAACCCCGGAGGGGCTGGAAGTCAGGACAGCCTTTTTCAGACACTGGCTGTCCTCGGCGACACCCAGCTTTTCTGCAGGCCTGTCGCGCCTCTGCGCGCGCCGCCGTTCTTGCACCCCCTCCTCCCTGGGTTTTGGAAGCTGAGTGAGCCGAGAGGTGTAAGAGTGAGACCGTCGCGCTGGGAAGACGCTTCCCATGCCCCGTTCTAGTTCCGCTTGGTGGGGAGGGACACCCACGCAGCCCCTCTGCAGCCCCTCGGCCAGAGGCTGGTGCGAGAGCCATTTGTGAAGCATCTTGGTTCCACCCCCTCATTTCACTGATAAGGAAGCTGAGCCCCAGAGAGGGAAGTGGTTATCTCCAGGGCAGGCTGGTGACCGATCTGGGAGGACAAGTGACAGCCCATGGCTCACTCAGCTGCACCGGACCCCCCAACAGGTAACAGCCCCCTGGGCCACTTAGAAAACCCGAGACACAGAGGCCACGGACTGACCTGGTTTTCCTGGATGGCAGGTGACTTTCCCGAGGCCTCCCGTCCCTTTGGGGTCTGGGCTCCGTCCACACCTGCCCGGACTCCGCGTCCCAGGTGGAAGGGGAGGCAGCAGCTCCCAGCAGCCTCCGTGACAATAGCAGCGGCAGGCGAAGGGCTGGTTCGTTCCTACTATCGGTGACATTTCTTACGAACCCTCAACTTCCTCCCGGTTTGACTCAGGGTTGCAGCATCTCGTTGGGGTGGGGAAACCTCGCAGCCTGGCAGCCCAGGAGCTTTCCCCCCCCGCAGAGCTTGGCTTGCGTGCCACCACCTCCTGCTGGCCCTCCCGGATCATGGCCCTGGAAAGCACCAAGAGCCCAAGACCACACGTTCTCAGGAGTCACCCTCCAGCCCCTGAGCAAGGTGCTCCAGGCACCGGGGCAGGCCGGGGCTGTGAGTAACTTCCTCGGCCTCAGTGGACCTCTCTGGAGAATGGGAAGCAATAATGGTTTTCTCTTCATGGGGCTCTTGAGAGCAGTCAGTGATGGAAGTGCTTGGCCATCCAGTAAGCAACTGGGAAGCTTTGCCCGCTGTGATGTATTATCACTGGATTATTCCCTCTGTGTGCCCCTTCGGTGCACTCATGGTCGGCCCCGCTTGACCACGGTAGGAAATCACGTCAGGTAATGGGGGTGGATGGGGGCAGTGGACACTTGAAGGAAGGGATGAGGTTTTTAAGAGGGGAGGGGAGAGTCTGAGGGGGACAGAAGAGGTGGTAAGTGGAATCAGGCACCCCAAAAAGTGAGGAAGGGGGATCTGGGGGCTCCTGGATATATCAGAGGCTCTTGCTGGTGATGCTGGTCATAGGGGGAGATAAAGAAGAGACTCAAGGTGAGGGCCAGTGAGGCCCCTTACCATCTGTTTGACCTTGTGTAGACTCTAGCTTCTGTGAGCCTCACTATCTTCATCTGTCAAATGGGCATCATTATAACAACAGTCCAGGAATGTACTGAGTTCCCACCGGAGAGCACTCAGCACAGGCAGTAACAGCCACATCTCAAGTCCCTGAACTGACCGCCCTCCGGCTCCTCGAACCCCACTCCAACTTGCCAGGCTTGGGGTGCAGCTCCAGAAAAATTTTGGAGTCGGGGAGATTCTATGTGTTCTGTCTCCTCTGTGTGCTGTTCCTTTTCATATCGTGTCCCCCAGAAGCCCGGCTCAGGTGTAGACAGACGAATTTATTGACACTATGGTGTTAGTGGCAGATTAACAGCAAACAAATAAATATTCATATTCTAACTGTGGGAGTTCACACTGCAACCCCAGAGGAGACTGGAATTTCAGCCCAGGAGCCTGGTCCAGGGGCGTGTTCCTCCTCAAACTACATTTCTCAGGCTGTATGAACTCTTCTCAACCATGGCTGCCCCGCTCCCCCATCTTGTAGGTGGCTCACACCACAGTGCTCGGGGAGGATGAGGAGTTTGGGTGGGTGTGTGGACCTTCTCAGCCTGCAAACCTCCTGAACTTCCATTCTTACTGTTGCTGGTGTTTCTGGAAAGTCCACCTGCTGATGGAAGGAGGGCTGGCTGGCTCTGAGCCACACGGCTGGGTCTGGATGCACAGCTGTGCATAACAGGCCTGAGGCTGCCTCAGGGGCGACATTGGTCTAGGCGCTGCAGGAATAGCCGCCCAGAGCCAGGCGTTAGTGAGAGAGCCAGCAAGGTGAGGCCACCGGCTCCCGATTTGCAGGGCGAGGCAGTGCCGTTCAGATGAGAGAACCCAGACAGAGATCCCCACAGCCAGAGCCACTAGGAGCCCTGGAGCGCTAGACCTGTCCCTCTTCACACACAGGCTGTTTTCTCTCCTCTTTACTTAACATTAGGAAACATTAATATAGTGACAGAAGATTCCAGTTCAGGGTTAAAAAAAAAAAAAAACATCTTTTCATATGTGTGGATTCCCTTGACAACATTCTGGATAAATGGATCTCTTGCCTGTGCTTACATACTCCTGGTGACAGAGAGCTCACTACATAGCAAGGCCACTCTGCTCTCAGATGCTCCAGTAACAAGGCAGGCCTGTTTCTACGGCACCCGGAGCCCATTCTGTGGAGTTGCACAGGGGAGCGTGTCTTGAGTTGTTGAGGGTGCTAACGTGTCTATTTTATAGACCATGGGCAACTCTAGTCCTTTCCACAGATTCCCCCGGGTTGTGGCTTCCATGCCTGTCCACATGCAGCCCCAGCCGTGAGACAGCTCTCAGGGCGCAGGTTATCAAAGCCATGCAAAGACCACTGTGTTCCTGTGTTCCTCTTCTGGCTTCTCTAAATGAAGCCCGGTTGCCAGCATTTCTCACTGTCTTTCGTGTTTGCGAGAATACTTAGGAATTTGCATTTCTCTTCAAGCTGCGACTGCCTCTGTGTTTCATGTATAAACATTTGCTCTTTTCCAATATTTCAGGGACGTAGTTCTGATTTTCTCTCCGACTCACATATTATTTAAGAGATTACTTAAGAGAATGCATAGAAGTACCTATTACCTATTATTAACATCGTAGTGCTCAGCAAATAGTTGTGCTTTCTTCGTGGTTTGTGAACAGAAGGGTAGAATTGACATTGCCTTGGAGTAGCAGTCTGGGCCCAGGAATGGGATAAATTTGGCAAAAGATCTTCATCTTCTCCCAAAGAAAGTATATTCCCTTGATTTAGGATTTAGTCCTCACTGATCTGCCTTTTTAATTGGGCTACTCAGAGCTTGAAAGTTCTCTGTCCTCTTGATCGATGATACTCTGAGAGGGAGCTTTAAGGGCTCTACCTACATTATGCTTCTGTTTCTACTGTTTTTGTGCATTTCTAGCATGTTCCCATTATGTATTTCTTTGTTGTGCACATTGGAACATAAATTGTTTTATGTTTTAATTATTTATTGGAACTCTTACCTTTGTTAAGTCTATGTGTTACTATCTCAGTTCTTTTTACTAAAAAAAAAATGACTTTGTCATATTCCCTTTTTTTCTAGAGTTCTGTGTGCTTGATAAACCCAAGATTACCCTATCATTTTACTCCGTCTGTGTCTCTTTGTTTTCTCTGTGTTTCTAACTGGCAAAAGAGAATTGTTTGATCTTTTTTTAAAATAAGTGCCCCTTTTTATAGAGAGTATTGTCATTATTAGGAAGCATTATAATTTTATTATAATTGTTACATTTCTGTAACCCTCTGTGGGGTTACTGTCTATGTAGAGATGTGGCAGTTATTTCGTGTTTAGCTTCTATTGTGAATTTTCTCTTCCTTGTGTTTCTTTACAATAGACAAGATAATTTAACCTGAATATCCAATTTAGAAAATTATTTAAGTTTCAACTCCAACATTCGTTTCTATCAAAGCTGTCCAAACTTTGGGAAGATTTATTGAAATATCTTCCCTTCCCTTGATCCACTCTCCATTGTTAACCAGCATTTTGAATGTTTTTTGTATCGATCTTTTCTCCTAATGGCCGATCTGTGGACAGATGAAACTTTTCTTTTTTTTTAATGTTTATTTATTTTTGAAGGAGAGAGGGACAGAGTGTGAGCAGGGGAGGGGCAGAGAGAAAGGGAGACGGAATCCGAAGCAGGCTCAAGGCTCTGAGCTAGCTGTCAGCACAGAGCTCAACCCGGGGCTTGAACTCATGAGCCACAAGCTTGTGACCTGAGCCAAAGTCGGACACCCAACCGACTGAGCCACCCAGGAGCCCCTGAAACTTTTCTTTTTTAAATCACACATCAGGTTTTTGTTGCCGTTTCTCCTCTCGTAGGTGGCGTCTGCTCTGTCACCTGTGACTTCCAATTCTCTCTGTCACTTCATGCTTTGCTCCCAAGTTTCTCAGATGTGGCACATTGAAATGTTCATCTTTGACCTCGCAAGATTTATGTCTCATCAGCTGAGCACTGGTGAATTCAATGCATTTCTTTAAATTTTGTGTGAACCTCACTCCCGCCCCTGCCGTGCCTCAAACCCACACCCAGACTTTTCTTTTTTTAAGGGAAGATCAAAAGCTCTTCTTACTTTTCTCCTTTTCTCCTAGTATTTACTATGACTTTACAAAAATTAAATTGCTTTTGTATCACCACTAATTAAGTAGAAAAACATATACAGAGAGAAAGAAAGAGAGAGAGAGCACGCGCACGCACGCGAGGTAAAGATAAAAGATTGAATAAGCACCCACTATCTAACTGCTAGAATGTAACCAATGTTTGGCATATGGAAATTTTTTTCTAGGTTTTTTTTCCCTGTGTGTGGGCTTTTAAAATCATAGTTGAAGTCATGCTGAATGTATAGTTCTGTAGTTTGTGGGTTTTACTTACCATAGTCAGCATAAACATAACATAATCAGGCAGAAAAATTTTCCGTTGAGTAAATTTACCTTTGTGAAATTAAGTTTTTGTTAGCACTTAAAAGTTTGTGTGTCTTTGCCATCAGAACAGCTGGCAAATAAACACATTTCTGTGCCAACTTTTCCTTCTTTTTCATAATTTACTTAAGGTGAAATTTTAATCGCTGGGTGAAAGATTAATACGATTTCTATGACTTGTACTATGAATGATCAAATCAAGAAGCTGTGTACACTCACCAGCATATCAATGACTGTTTCACAGAATCCTTACCAGCTTCTTTATTGAAATGATGAGCTAAACTTTACGTCTTTGTAAATCCTCCTCTGGGAACTGTCTGTTTGTGTCTTCTGCCTGTTTGTCATTGAGGGTCTTGAAAATGTATATATATATTTTTCTCTTCATCAAGAAAGAACATCGTTTATGTAACATATTTGTGTATTTTCTTTCTTCTTTTCTTCTCATATATTACTCGATGCTAACATTTTTTAACAAAAAGAAAATTTCCTAGGTTTCTATATACTGTGGTCAGAATATAATCAACATAATTTCTGCTTTTTATTTTTGTTAATGAAGGATTTTGTTCTTGGTAGGCAGA